TAAATCAAATAAGATAAATACTTTCCTAAAATTACAATATATCTTATTCTCTAAGATTGTGTGATTTAAGGAAACTAGGTTTTAGGAATCTAAGCTTATATAAACTCATCTTATTTCACATATTTCGTGTGCCTCTCCAGAAATTAAAAGAGCAATTATTTTAGAGCATATACTTAAGCACTAATCCCATTCATCAAGTTATATACAAGAGCATTCTAGTACTTAAACTTTTTCTCTTAATTAGCTTCGTAGAAGTGAGATCAAAGGAGAGTTCTTGATTCTTGTATTGAGTCTTTAACAAAGGGGTTAAAGGCTGGGTGAGTGTTTGTGAGTTCAAACACATTGGGCTTACGAGTGTAAGTCGAGAGCACACTCGGAGTAGAGTGTGGGGTTTGCTGGTTCCCGGAGTAGGGAAACAGCAGAGTGTTCTTTGTCTTTGTTTTTCGGAGTAGATTAATAAAGAACTTAGGATAGGAGGACGTAGGCCTGAGTTGGCTGAACCTCGTTAAATTTGTTGTCTTCTTTATTGCTTATTTATATTCCGCTGCGTACGGGAACCAGCACAACTGGTTCCTCACACATAATTCGAAAAGAAGCAAAATTAGCCAACGATTACTTAACACTCAATTCACCCCCCCCCCCTCTTGAGTGCCCATTGAACCTTCAAGCCTTAACCTAATCAAGTGGTCTCATAATTTGAGGGGAAAAAACAAGTGGCATCACAACTTTTGCAACATTTTTTACGCTCTTCCTTTGAATGTGAATTTTGGTCGGTCAATTGGATTGATAATCTAATCTGCTTTACATAAAAACTTTACTTGTCACTGTAAAAAATTGTTTACTGTTCTGCTTTGCTAGAATAGCAAATTTTCTGTTTGTCTTGTTATCATTGGGACATCCTTACATCTTTGCATTGCAATTAATTAATTATTATTATGGGATTGCTCTTCTATAATAGTGTTTTGGTCCATTATTGAATTGTAATACAATAGTTTTTAAGCTATACTTATTGAAAAAAAGGGAAGAATTCAACAAACTGTCATTGATTCACTAATTATTCCGATATTTTATTGAAAACACTGCTATAATGTTTCTTGAAGGTATTGTTTATCATACAACGACGCGCCTTATTATATACTACGTACGTAATACTTTATAGTTTTATACGAAGTATGTAGATCGAAATATGAGTGGGGCCATTAATTTTTCCCATCTCATTCAATAATTATAGAAATAATAATATTACACAAAACTTCCTAAATCTAGTTAACAACCATGCATAAATCTGAATATAATTGGTAGAAGAAGCTTTATGCAACAATGCATTACATACAATATTGACCCTGCCTAGAAAGAAATAGACCCATGAACTTCTAATATTTATGAATTTGTCTAGAAGAAAATTGACACATGTCAAATGAAAAAAGATCCTTCTTTATTTCATGTTTAAAAAATATCAGCATGTAATATGATATGGTGGTATTATTGCATGGGTCTACAAATTTTTCGAATAAGACAATTGAACGATAAATGGCCATGAAAAAATATTATTAGTTCTCACAACCTAAAAGGCTTGGACTCTTTGTCCCTCTATGCCTCTATGGATATTAGGTATTCCTAATTCAGATATTAATTGCAATTATGCCAACAAATTTCAAAGAATATATATGAAAACATAACATCAGGGCGTAGGTGAATTTCAAGGAAATTAAAAACTTAAGGCCAAACGGTACCATTTAACTATTAAGTCGTCATAGATAAACAAGTATTAAGTCATAAAAAAGTTAGTTATTGACAAAAATCCACATGCATCCTTTTTTGTGGTAATTCACTATCTAATCTACATAATAACTCTTTTTTTGAATAATAAGGAGACAACTCATCTCGAATCTATGTTTTTTCATAGGTCAACCTAACTTGCTACCGTAAAAATCTCACCTCAGAAAAAATTTAGTTTCTAAACTTAAGACAAATTCATATGATCGATATAACCTGATATGCAATACAACTACGATTACATTATAACATTTATAAGTTTATAACTATCTTTATTTATATAGCATATATACTCTATACATAGATCTACTCCTTAGTTTAAGAATTATAGACTATCATTAACGATTATCACATAATTTAATTTGTTGGTATATCCTTAATTCCCTGCATGCTGCCGACAATGACTAACTACTATATGTGGGAAGATATTAACTCATTCCGTAAGAAATTACTATAATATCCACTTGTTCCATTCCCTTAATATTTACTTCGCATATTTGACGGATTGCCCGCCGCTAAGCAATTCAAAGGCTATATTTTAATTTTACCAATATAGTTTAGTTCAGTCTCATTGTTTGTAACCAAAACATTTACATAATATGGTAGGAAAAAATATGTTATTATTTCAGTTCACTCATTGCATTTTGCCAAATGGGGGACAACTTCACAACATGCGTCGATCTACTATGTCAAAATAATACGTAAAATAGTCCATTAGACGTTTTTTTGTTCCTCCTCTGATCATCTTAATCAGTGTGAGAGAAGTCATTGCACTTAGGACATGTTGACATTTACTGAATTGGGGTATGTTCTAATAGACTGAAATCAGCTAAACTAAACTGATCAACTGAGCTGAACTGAACTGAACTGAGCTAAAATAAATATTTTATAAAAGAAGGAAATTAGGAGCTGAACTGAATTGAAAATAAACATATGAGAACAGACCCTTGAGCTGAACTGAGCTGAACTGAATTGAAAATAAACATATGAGAACAGACCCTTGAGCTGGGCTAAACTGAACTGAACTGATTGGAGGTGAATTGAATTGGATAGAAGTGAAATGTATATTTTATGAGAGAAGAAAATTAGGAGTTGAACTGAACTGAACTGATTGGAGCTGAACTAAACTAAACTGAATTGAATTATAGTATAAGTTTTTTTTTTTTATTGTTTAACCGTGTGTGTATGATAGAATTTGCGGCAATATAAAGTGACACTTTTTATTTGTCGGGAAAACCGGTAGGAGGGGAGAATGAAGCTTCAACATAGCAGTGAGGAATTCAGGGCTTAGGTTGATTATGGTTGTGATGAATGCCGTAATAATTAAGATGTAAATGAGGTCACGTGCTTGTCAAAGTGTTAAGTATAGAAAATAGAGCTTAATTGAAGATGAAATAGGACTTCCACATGACCTTGAAACTAAAGGGCACCTATTTCAAAAAGTTTACATAAATGCGGGAAAAGCGTTTTAATTTCTTTTGCAACCTACTAACAAAACTGGCAGGTACTCAACTACCTTACTGATGTAGGATTCCACACTAATTTGTCTAATTATTATGGGCAATAAAAGAAAAGTGTTCTATTAATGAGAAATGATTTTGGCATACCTCTATATGAAAGTATCAATCTATTTTTTATGCTCTTCTCACATAAGGATGTGCTACAATCAATTAAGGTAGGGTGTGTCAAAATCAATTTCCCATATACACCGTATAACAATAATTTAACACCGGTAACACAACTCTTTACTCTTGTATTACTTGTATAGCTGATAAAATTCATAGAATGGCATGATCTCACTAACCTTGTTTTACTTCTATAGTTGTATTCATAGCATGCTAAAAATTACGTAGACTTCAAAAACTCCTACTCACAAAAGCTAAATTTTGCGTCAGCCAAAATATTTACAAAGTTTTGGATAGATAATGATGCAATTAAAGAGATAATTTTTGTGGAGAAAGTAAATAGTACTGTACAAATGTGCAATGTTAGGTGCACTTATTTAAAAGATAAGCCACTTCCAAAATTTTCCAAAATGATGCAATTGGGAGATAAAGGATGCGCACCATGACTCATTTACTTGTTGTTTGCGACTGCAGATGACTAAAAGTAGCAGACAATTTGACTAATAAAGATATAATCTTATTCTTCTTTTTAATTTTTTATCACATTTTAAGGAGCCAACCTTTTACTAATCCGCTGGTCAACATCATGATTTTACTTGAGTTTGAATGGAATTATGCGTTTAAATATATCATAGCCCCAAATATATGACCTTACCTCATTTATGCATCATATTATCTTCAACCATTTATCCAATAACGCACAACTAAAAAAAGGAAAATTTGCAACGAAACGATTATTATAAAGAGGTTACCCGATGTACCTTTTAGATTTGACATGCGTGCAGCGTGCATGCATCGCTCTTATCACTTCTACGTGCACGCATATCTTATATGAATACCTTATGTGAGTATCTAAGTAACATATAAACGGAAAAAAATAAGGTTAATGAATTGATTGATTGTGTACCTGTACCTAAAGAAATCATTTCCACAATCAAAGTAGCAAAAACTTTTGTAAGATGTACTATTATGTTTTGAATTCAACAAGGAAATATAAGAAATACAAATACATACACCTCAGCTAATTAATATATGATCTTAGGTAAGATTTGAATAAAAATTTGAATGTCAACAAACTTTCACCTAAGAAAATGGCTTAAGATTCTTCATCAATAATAACACTCTTATTAAAAAGGGGGTCAAAACTCAAAAATTAATTTTCCTAATTTTACTGAGGGTCCCTCCTTTACGTAAGGCATGTTCCATGGATTTCCTGTTCTATCTCAATTCCCAATAACCCACTGTTAATTTTAATTTTTTTCTTTACTAATTCCATAATTTATTAATTTAATTCACTCTTAAAAATCGGGTGTCAACCCGTCACAGCCGGTATCAGTTTTAATTGTCATGTGTTTTTCTGTACTCAGTGACCGGATATCATGGGTTTCCCGCCACCTTTTAGCCCGTTTCCTTCGTCTTTCCTCCTCTTCGTTACCGACGATTTTTCCCCCACTTTTATTCATTTCAACATTTAACTAGCAATATTAATTTTATTAATTAATAATTATATTTTTAAAATTATATTAAATGATATCATCATCATATAATAAGCCTCTTTTTCAACATCATATAATAAAGTGATGGTATACATAATGGGTCCAAATTCTAGTTGCAAAAGTGGTTGGAGTTCATCCACAAATGAGTATTTGGCGGTACATTCTCTTCATTTAAATAAAACACACCATGTTTTCTTTCGTGTGTAGGATCTAATTTGCGATTTTGAATATACGCTTTATTATTATTATTACAATCGATTCAAATTATTTTTATAGTTTATAAGTTCTAGGTTAATATATTTTGTCCCTTAATGTTTTGTTATTTTCTCTTAATTGACCACACACAGTATTATTATTACCTAATCTAAGGAGGCCCCTTTTTTTTGTTATCTAATTAAAAAGTAGGGTATAATAATTCTTATTAGAGTTCTTTAAATTTATCAGGGTGCTCTGCTTTTGGAGCTCAATATTCTTGATATAAAGATGATCAACATTAGATTTTATAAATTTTTTAAGGTGAAAGAGAGATTTTTTTTTTCCCAACCAGAAGTCCAAGTAAATATATATTTTCAAAAAAAAAAATGAGGATTGAGAAAGAAGAAATGGGGATTGATCAAACCAGAAAAGTATTGGTTGGAATTCGATTCGATACCGAATGCAAAGAGCTTCTTGGTTGGGCCATTGTTAAGGTTGCTGAGCCTCTTGATCATGTTGTTGTTCTTCATGTTTGCAGAAATTCAGGTACACTATTTTTTACAAAAAAAAAAAAATTATTTTCAAAAATTTAGGGTTATTTTAAAATTATTAGTAATATACTTCACTTTTTGTTGTAGATGATGTAGCAAAGGAGAAGAAACAGCTGGATGATTATCTAGAGATTTTCAAGAATTTATGTGATATTAAGAAGGTAACTTTCCTCTGTTTTTTATTATTTTTTTTTTAAAAAAAAAATAGGGTTTTTTTTTTTTAAGGAATTAAATTTATGTGAGTAAATTTCAGGTAAAGTTAAGTGGAAAGATATTGCCAGGAAAATCAATAAGAAAAAGTCTAGTAAGTGAAGCAAAAGGGTGTGGTGCTGCTGCTGTAATTGTTGGAATAACAAAACCTGGTTCTATTGGGTAAGAAATTTTGACTAATTTATTAAATTCATAGTAGTAATTTCAAATTTCTGTATTTAAATTATATATGTCATTGGTTCTATCTGATTACTGTGAACAGTAAATTTATTTCAGGGGTAGAATGTCAACTGCAAAATATTGTGCAAAACAATTGCCTTTAACCACTGAAATCTTCACTGTTCATAATGGCAAAGTTGTATTTCAAAGACTCTCCAACGATGATCATATTCAAGGTTAATTCTTAATCTATTTATAAATAATGCTTGATTTTTTTAATTTTATTTTTTTTCATTTGGTTGTTGTTACTGTATGCTAAATTGTTTGATTATGTGAAATTTATGCTAGGACTTCAAGAAGATCCGAGGCCGAGCTTCCATAAACCCGGAAAATCGAATGGAAATCAATCTGATTTTGGAGATTCAGAAGTATCAGAAGTGGATTCTAATAGCTCAAAACAGAACTGTCAGAACTCAGAAGCTGAATCAACAACAGATATCAGTTGTGAAGAGCTTGCAGAAGTTGAAACTCCTAAAAATACTTGTATTGACAGTAAGAAAATTCCTCAAAGAACAGTTAGTTTTAACAAGGAGGATAATGTAACGGAGCAAAAACCCGGTTGGCCTTTGCTTCGAAGGTCTAGCCTTCCGACTCAGAAGGCTTTAGACTCGAGGAAAATGTCGGTAGTTCAATGGGTTATGAACTTCCCTGATCGTTCACCACCTGATACTCCTCAGAGTTGTGGTAGTATTAATGTCGATTCGTGTTCTACCAAGTCCGAGAGTCCCTTAGGAAGGGAAAATGATAATGCAAGTAATTTCGCGTTTAGTAGCAAAAGCAGTCAGTCTCTTTGGAGTGAGTTCCTTGATCAGGAACCCGGGCTTCCATTTGAATTGAATTTTTTGGAGTTCACTTGGTTTAGTTACGAGGTTTTGAGGCACGCGACATCTAATTTCTCTGCAGGTTATTACAATTTATTTCCCTTTTTAATTCGTGTTAATGATATAAGGCTCTATTCACTTCACCTCGTTTTTACAACCTGTCGTACTGATTAAAACTGTTTGTGTATATATGCAGGGAACTTAATAGGTAAAGGAGGTTGTAGCCAAGTTTACAAGGGAACTTTTCTTGATGGTAAAGAAGTGGCTGTAAAGGTACTAAAATCGTCGAAACAAGCATGGAAAGATTTCTCTCAAGAAGTTAATATAATGTCCACAATGCGCCACAAAAACATTACAACATTGCTCGGTGTTTGTATCGACAACAGCGAGCTAATCTCTGTCTATGAGTTCATGTCCAAGGGCAGCTTAGAGGATAACTTGCATGGTAAACTCCAACTCCTAATTCTGCTTCAATTTTCATTTGATTGAATTAATTGAGTAAATGGGAATTAAGATTTTATTGTGTGATTTATGTTTTGTAACAGCTGAAAACAAAGAAAAATCTTTGGTGTCATGGGATGCAAGGTTTACAGTAGCAGTTGGAATAGCAGAAGCCCTTGTTTATTTGCACCAAGGTTGCTCAAGGCCTGTTATTCATAGAGATGTCAAAACTTCCAATATTCTTTTGTCAGACAACTTTGAACCTCAGGTATACCTACCCTCTCATAACGAGTAAAGAACGATTTAGATCATGTTTTCTTCATTTAACATACGTAATATAAAAAAAAAAAAAAAAAAAAAACAGTTTTAATCCGCAAAAATATATTATTGACCTGTAACAATCCGTTGAATATAATAATATTGATCGATGAGGAGAAGACCTCAATAAAGAAAATTGTTATCACCCCTACTTCTTTTTCTATGGTGCATGCAATGTAACAACTTAAACTTTTGAACCATTTCAATAAAGATGAGTTTTGGCCAATAATAGTACACTAATGTGATATCTTTTGATTGATTTTGGCTGTAGTTGTCTGATTTTGGGCTTGCAATATGGGGTCCAAATGCAAAAAGTGTTGAGACCTACACTGATGTGGTGGGCACATTTGGATATCTAGCACCCGAATATTTCATGTATGGTAAGGTCACCGACAAGTTAGACGTCTACTCATTTGGGGTGGTGCTTCTTGAATTACTTACCGGACGAAAGCCCATTAATTCTTCCAAAGGCCAAGAGAGCTTGGTCATGTGGGTAAGTACTTTCTCAATTTTTTAATACGTGTAACTGTTTGACATCTGTATTATTCTAAAAAAGAATGCGACTTTTTGATGTTGCGTGTTGTTTAGTTTATTGAGGTTATAACATGTAAAATGTTGGTATGGATTTGATGAATTTCAGGCAAAACCAAGGCTACAAAGTGGGAAACTAATAAAAGGAATTCTAGACCCTAGTTTGGAGGGGAGTGTTGATGAGCCCCAAATGCAAAGAATGGTCCTAGCAGCTAAACTTTGCTTGACAAGGGCAACTAGGCTTCGTCCTAATATGGACCAGGTATGTTTGCTTGATGGACCCCGAAATGGAATATTACTCCCCCTTACCCAAAGTGTAGTCAAGTCGGTTTTAAATCGAATACTTTAACTTAAATTTGAAGCAAATCGATTTTGGACCGATTAATTTTGGATTAGTTATAATTTTTTGTAAACTATTCTATTCCAAGTTTGTGTTTGAAGTTTTTGGCTAGGCTCAAGTTAGATTTTAGATTGAGTTAAATTTTGTTAATTGACTAATGTGGTAAAACTGAATAGCTTTAAAAATAATGTGTATTTTTGCATAGTAACTTAAGTTGTAAATCAACTCTAACCTTTATTAGGAAAGAAAAAGTTTTGGAGTATTAAATTTTTGTTATTTTAAAAAACTACTGTACTAGTTGAAATGTCTCTTAAGTACCTTTTAAAAATCATGGTCTTGTTTGACAATCAGTTGTCACTTAATTCACGTGGCTTGTTTGACTAACCATACCATTATAAACAAAGCATATGACATTTCTTTTAAATTTTTCCAGATACTAAAACTTCTTAAAGGAGAGGAAACAATGGATACATGGGCAAAGTCACATGTATATGATGAACAAGAAGAAGAAGAAGAACAGTTTGATGGTAATGAAGAAGAGTTTTACCAAAACTCGAGTGCTAAGAAATCACACTTAAGTCTTGCACTCCTTGACTTAGAAGATGATCACACGTCGTGCAGTAGTGGTGACCGGAGCAACAGTCCTCATACTCTAGGGGATTTCTTAACTGGAAGATGCAGGAGGTCCTCTAGTTTCGATTAGCACGGACGTCTTCCTTCCTACATTTGTAATTATCCTTAAGTTAGCATTTTCCTTTGTATAGTTTTGAGGAAATTATAAGTCTAAGTTTGCACCCCCTTGTTTTATGTGGTGGTTTGGATAAATGTACACTATATATATGCATCATGCATGCATGATTGCATATTAATTATTGAGATTTGAGGCAATTAAAAGCATTTTTGGCGAGTTAGCTTCTTGTTCTCAATGTTGCAATTATTCATTATATATGACCCTAATAATGCAGCTTTTACTTTTTATAAATTATATATGCAATAATGCAAAGTGTATTATGTATCCTTTAGTAGAGCATGATTATAAATTCGATCAGTATCAAATTGATTGGTATGGTTTTAATTGAAGGATATCATTGAGACTTTGAGGTAGTCGCGTAGAGTCGGTTGAGTATGACCTAGCTTGACTAATGGCCTGTTCTCTTCAGCTTAATTTCAGTTCAGTTCAGTTACTAATCTCCTTCTCTTATAAACAATTCAGTTCAGTTTAACTCAATTCAATAAATGAGAACAGGCACTTGACGATATTTGAGCTTCTATTTTTTGGTGTGGCTTAACTAGAGTAGTACTGTTGATAAGTATATTAGGTGACTCGTACTTCGTAGCTTTGTCCGCCCGATCGGGCGGACATTGCCCGGTCTGACCGGGCGGAAGAAGAAGAGGTGCCTGGCAAATTCGTTGAAGAAGCTGCTCTCGCGCCCGACCGGGCAGACCTTGCCCGGTCTGACCGGGCGGTGGGGGTTGGATACGTTGAAGCATTCGTATGGAGTTTTCTTCTCGCGCCCGATCGGGCAGACCTTGCCCGGTCTGACCGGGCGGAGAAGGAAAAATACGGAACGCGGATTTTGCGGTTTTAGGTTATCTTATTTTATTATCTTTTTGCCCAAGTATCTTTTAATTAGGGATTAATATAAAACCTCCCTAATATCAGTATTAGGGTTAAGAGAGAGAGAGTGAGAGCCGTTCTTGAGAAATACAAGAATCATCTTTGTAATCTTTGCAGTTTATAGTGAAATCATTCGATCTCGGTGCCCGTGGACGTAGCTATCACATCGATAGTGAACCACGTAAATTCTTGGTGTTGTTCTTATTGTTTGCATTGAATTTCTTTATTGTTTTCTTGTTTGTTTTCGACCTTTGCTTCCGCTGTCGCACAACAATTGGTATCAAGAGCTCAGGTTCAATCCTTGGAGAGTTTCTTGAAGATAACAATGGCAGGAGATTCAACAATAAGAATTGAGAAGTTTACCGGGAAAAATAGTTTCGGGCTATGGCAAATTAAGATGAAGGCTCTGTTAAAACAACAGCAGATATGGCGTCCGTTGGCTCCAAAGAGTACTACTTCGGAGTCAGGAGACGGACCGACTGACTCGCAGTTAGAAGTTATGGAAGAGAAGGCACACTCTACCATATTACTTAGTCTTGATGATCAAATCATCACGGAGGTTGCTGATCAGGAAACGGCGGCTGGATTGTGGCTGAAGCTGGAGTCATTGTATATGACTAAGTCGTTGACCAACAAATTATTACTGAAACAGCGGTTGTTTAGCCTCCGGATGCAGTCAGGTACTTCCTTACGGGAACATCTAGAAAAACTTAACTCTATTTTGCTTGATTTACGTAATTTAGATGTTAAAATTGATGATGAGGATGCTGCGTTGATTTTACTTGTATCTCTACCGTCTAGCTTTGAGAATTTTGTAGAGTCTTTTGTTGTTGGTAAGGATTCTATAACCTTAGAAGAAGTGAAGGCAGCACTTCATACTAGGGAACTCAGAATGAAAGCTACGAGTGATAATGGGGATAATGGTAGTGGGTTATTTGTTAAGTCCGGAAAGTCTAAAAAGAATAAGGGGTTTAACAAGGGGAACAATGCTGGGTCGGGTGCTGGAAACGGCAAGGATGGATCTAGTAAAACTACTACTAAAACATGTTATTACTGTAAAGAACCGGGTCACTTTAGGAATAATTGTCCGGTGAGGAAAAACAAGTCCCAGGCTGCTGTAGTTGAAGAGAAACCGAATGAGAGCTATAATTCAGAGGAAGATTTAGCATTAGTCAGTTCTGCTAGGTCTGATGATTTATCTGATAACTGGGTTCTAGATTCAGGGTGTTCGTTCCATATGTGTCCACGTCGAGATTGGTTTGATACATATGAACCTCGCAATGGGGGCATGGTTATAGTCGGTAACAATGCTCCATGTAAGGTCACAGGTATTGGTTCCATGAGGTTGAGGACTGTTGATGGGCGGAGGTTAACTTTGACTAATGTACGGCATGTTCCTGCTTTAGGAAAGAATCTGATTTCATTGGGTACCCTGGATGACTTGGGGTACAATGGTGTGTTTTCAGATGGGGAGTTGTGTATTTTCAGAGGTTCTGAGTTGGTACTTAAGGGTATCAAAAGGAACACCCTCTATGTTTTTGAGGGTGTTACACTGCCTAGTTCTGCGGTTTGCGCATCTGTATCTCACCAGGAGATGACTAAGATTTGGCACATGAGGCTTGGTCATATGGGGGAGAAGGGGATGCAGCTATTGTCCAAGAGGGGTCTTCTATCCGGGGTCAAGGTTGCCAACCTTGAATTTTGTGAGCATTGTGTGTTTGGTAAGAAACACAGGTCAAAGTTCAGCAAGGGTGCTCACATTACTGATGCAGTGCTCGATTACATCCATTCAGATTGCTGGGGTCCATCTAGAGTTGAAGGTATGGGAGGTTACCACTATTTTGTGTCATTTGTTGATGACAAGTCCCGATACACATGGCTTAGGTTGCTTAAGTCAAAGGATGAGGCCTTCAAAGTTTTCAAGCAATGGAAAGCTTTGGTGGAAAATCGACAAGGAAGGAAGATCAAGAAGCTACGAACGGACAATGGGCTAGAGTTTTGCAAAGACGAGTTTAATCAGTTCTGTGCAGATGAGGGTATAGGTCGGCATCATACTGTCAGGAAGACACCACAGCAGAACGGTGTAGCAGAACGGGTTAATCAGACACTGCTAGAGAGAGTTCGATGCATGCTCTCTAATGCAGGGCTTGGGAGGAGGTACTGGAGTGAAGCTGTGTTAACAGCTTGTTATGTCATTAATAGGGGTCCTCATTCTGGAATTGATTCCAAGATTCCGTTTGAGATCTGGAGTGGTAAGTTGCCTAATTTTTCGAATTTGAAGATTTTTGGTTGTGTTGCTTATTATCATGTTATTGAGGGTAAGCTGGATCCACGAGCCAAGAAGGGGTGTTTTGTTGGGTACGGGGATGGTGTGAAGGGGTTTAGAATTTTTTCACCTTCGGAGGGTCGGGTCATTCTTAGTAGGGATGTTACTTTCGATGAAAACACCATGTATTCAATTAAAAATGCAGAGATTTCAGATTTGAGAAGGGAAGGAGACAATTTATTACAGACAGATGGGGTACTTGAGGTACATCAGTCTACCATTGCTGATTTACCTCGGGTACAATATATTGATGATGATGCTGATGTTCCAGTGCCGGGTACTCCTGAACCTGAGATTACTCCTACTCATTCTAACTCTGGGGATGAGGTGGAGCAATCTAATCAGGGGTCATCTAGTCAACCTGACACCATTCTTGAGATGCCTAAACGAGTTATCAAGAAGCCTGTTAGATTGATTGAAGAGATGGAGGGAAGAAATTGCTGTGTTGATGCGATGACAGGTTATGCATTGAGTGTAGCTGATGATGTAGAGTCATTTGAACCTGCCACATATAAACAAGCAATTAGTTGTAGTGAGTCTGCGCAATGGCTTGCCGCAATGGGTGAAGAGATGCAGTCTCTTTACAAGAACAGAGTGTGGGAACTGGTAAAGGTACCGGAAGGGAGGAAGCTTGTGGGTTGTAAATGGATTTACAAGAAGAAAGAAGGGTTGTCGGAAACTGAGCAAATACGTTTTAAGGCTAGGCTAGTTGCTAAGGGGTTCAGTCAGGTAGAAGGGGTTGACTTTGTTGAGATATTCTCACCTGTGGTTCGACATACTTCTATCCGTGTGTTATTGTCAATTGTAGCACATTTTGATCTTGAGCTGGAGCAGTTGGATGTTAAAACGGCTTTCCTTCATGGCGATTTGGAGGAGGAGATTCTGATGAAGCAGCCCGAAGGATTCGAAGTTCCTGGAAAGGAACACTATGCCTGCAGATTGCTAAAGTCATTGTATGGACTTAAGCAATCCCCCCGACAGTGGTACAAAAGGTTTGATTCTTTTATGGTTTCACAAGGTTTTGACAGGAATTCATATGATTGCTGTGTGTATCATAGTAAGCTGGATAATGGTTCCATGATTTATCTTTTGTTATATGTTGATGACATGTTGGTTGCCACAAAGAATAAATCTGATATTGCTAGATTAAAGGAGATGCTTAACTCGGAGTTTGACATGAAAGACTTGGGTGCAGCTAGGAAGATTTTGGGTATGGAGATCTACAGGGATCGGGCTAGAGGTAAGCTTTTCTTGACTCAGAAAAGCTACATTGAAAAGATTCTGTCTCGTTTTGGGATGGAAAAATCGAAGCCTATAAGTACGCCAACTACTGTTAGTTGTAAGTTGTCTTTGTCTATGTCACCTCAATCAGAGGAGGAGTTGTCTTATATGTCTAGAGTTCCATATGCAAACGCGGTTGGTTGTTTGATGTATGCTATGGTCTGTACTAGGCCGGATATTGCGCATGCTGTTAGTGTTGTAAGCAGGTTTATGGCTCGACCTGGGAGGGAACACTGGCAAGGGGTGAAAAGGATTTTTCGCTACCTGAGAGGGACAGCTGATATTGGTCTTGTGTACGGGAATGGTAAGGAATGCTTGGTCACTGGGTACAGTGATTCTGATTATGCAGCTGATGTGGATACCAGGAGGTCTGTGACTGGTTATGTGTTCACTTTGGGTGGTTCTGTGGTTAGTTGGAAGTCTACATTGCAGTCATCAGTTACGTTGTCAACTACTGAAGCTGAGTATATGGCTCTAACTTCTGCAGCTAAGGAGTCTATTTGGCTCAAAGGCCTAGTAGGTGAACTGGGTATTGCACAGGATTTTGCTACAGTGTATTGTGATAGTCTAAGTGCGATTTGCTTAGCTAAAGATCAAGTACACCATGATCGGACGAAGCACATTGATGTCAGGTATCATTTCTTACGTACTGACAAGAGGATTAAGGTGAAGAAGATTGGGACTGCTGACAA